TACAAGAACAACGACAGCCCACAGACACAACAAAGTAATATTGCGAATGCTACGAGCACTGTTGAAATCACCTAAAATTACACTGTTCATTAACCTCTATTTCAGTAATGACCCAATGTTCGCCTTCACATAGAACGATGATCCTTTATTGACCGAAAATCAGAATTTTGAGTAAAGTCTCGCAAGTTTCCTCACTATTGTAAGCTTGCTACTCTATTTCAAGGTGCATCAATTCAACCCTTCTTTCTAAAACGTATCTCATATCACAACAGAACGTCAAGCAAGATACCCGATTCCTGTATACAATAAAACTAGTGAAAACCGTTGATACAATTAGAATTAAAGACAATCGATAAAATGTGAGCGAGTACCTGTAAATCGTGCTGAATTGAGAACGCAAATGGTGCCTTGATTGTGAGCGGCAGACCAAGCGATTTGGCCTTTGCTATCAGATCATCAATTAGTGATAGCCTGAAGAATTCAGCATTTATAAGGGAATAGCATTCAATCGTAGCCCGGAGGTACCTTATAAATTTATCTTCATCTTATGTGCAGTCGTTAACAAAACGTGAATAGATGAGAATATTACTAGAGCATTACTTATTATAGTAACTGGGATGAATGAATCAATGCAAGTACCTCTCTTCAACGCCTTTCGTACTCAGTTCGATGTACATCTTTGATGCGATAATTTGTGTTTGATACTTATCGAACACAATATCAGAGTGATATTTCTTGAAGTTATCGGCTTTCAAGAAGACCAAACTTACGATTGGTACGAAAGTATCCTAAAAACAAATGAGAAATTAAAAGATAACGAAGTGATAAATTTCATAAGTTTATTATTTCATAATCAATGTTCAGTACATTCAAAATATTTTCAGTGCTATGAATGTATTCAAGAATCATGCAATTATTTTTTAATAAATGCTACACATTCGAAGTTTCGCAACTCACNGAATTAATCTCGTATATGGTGGAACTCTCGAATCGTGAGAAATCCTTCAACCAACTCACTGATCTAGTCGCCAGTTGGTTTTGCTGTAACGAAACTAAATTAATTTATTCGATTCCGAACAACTTTCGATGGCAACAATCAAATCCTTTCTTGTACATGGTTAATGAATATGACTGAAAATAACACCAGATATAGTAATCATGAAATTCATTCAATGTACTCTGAAATTTTAAATTCCTCACGACTTAAGCTTTTTCTGTAAATTTCCATTTTTTAGGAAGTATAAAGGCTTAAAATCTCTACAGAATCCATTAAAACCTACAACAGGCCAGTCAATAAATGTGAGGATTTCCTGTTTTCGTGCACGATCGTGATAGTCGATTGGTTCATCGAAAATCAACTCCAAATACTCCTCATATTTGCCGAACATATCACGATATTGTTGCATGTATAGACGAGACTCACTGCTCCTTGACAAAAAGTATTCCTCTCGTAAATCAACACTGAAACATTAGTTTATATCAGTGATCGAATTCTAATTTAACAATGAAGTCCAACACAATCTCATAATGAAATTCCAACTACGTTTCCAGTTCCCCAAAACAAAACAAGCAAGCAAAAATTCAGGTTTCACCATTGCAAAACCCCCAAATATAAAGCGATTTGAATCTCAACTCTTTTGATGGCGATTTCAATAAGATGATATTGAGTCACTAACTTGAAGTCTTTGCAACCCCAAACGGCAAAAACCAAATAGATTGCGAAAATGAACGCAATCGGGCATTTCACATAATGATTGGAAATTAGCGATGCGACCAGGTGGGCGATCGTTGGTTTGATTTCAACGAGTTTATCGTGAAGCAGCGATATGCTCACCTCATTGTAGTCCTTGATCGTACGAGCTGAAAGTTGCGTGCTTATCGTTAATGGAAACTGAATAAGGTGCACCAAAGTAACAATATATCGCATCATCCCGAATTCAATTACGATCGTGATATCGTTATTGCATGCAATTTTCAACAAATATTATGGTACAACACATGCTTTTATGTCACACTTGTCATATGGCTAAGTTAAAATTCATATTTTATATTTCTCATCTTTGTTTATCAAATAGCGATTTATCATAAGGTAATAATGATAAACTCAGTTCGTTTCCAGTCTTTGATGTGCTATCATGCGATCAGAATGAAGAACTTACGTGCAAAATGACTATCGCCAGGTTGTAAGCACTGATACCATTTTAGACCCATTGTTTCATGACGTCCGCTCATGTACAAGAATACAGTAAAGAATAGCACTGTGAATATCAACAATATCGCGATTGCTGCAGCCAAAACAAATGATACATATTGAAGGTAAGGATTCGCCGTGCTTGAACCAACTATCACTGAAATTTTAACGTATTATTATAATATTTTTAAACTGTCATAACTATTCAAATGTAAGTACTGTGAATTATACAGTCATAAATCAACGAGGGAAATGTGAGAAATGTTGAGGGAATTGAGGAAACTTATCGATTACAACGTTTGACTATAAGACAACGGAAATTTTCAATAGCAAATGCCATTCATTGTGTTAATACAAATTTCAGTGAACAGGAAGAAAAATAAAGATGATGTTGATGGTAAAAAGTGGTTTGACGTGAAGAAAAACGAGGAATTTTTTCAATATTTACAATTAAGTACGAATGTCTCAATTCATTCAGATCATACACACCAAACTCTCGATGGATAGTTCTGTGTGACAGTGCCATCTATTGATTACAATACTAACTAACTATAACAATAGCACTCTACCCGTGCAATTCTCATTGTTTCTGTAATCGCATTGCACTATAAGCTAACTGTAACTGCTGCTACGTGCATTAGTTATTGTAAGGTTTTCTTAAGAATGGATTTTCTATTGAGTAAATATTCTGATATCGAAGAAGTCATCTTGAGTGATTTCAAAGTTTGCTTTCAATATACAATGATGAACACAAGCAAATCTGTAACATATAGCATACTGGAGCAAATCTATTTGGAATGGGCAAGCATAAATTGAAAGAATTCACTATCATCGTGCGTTAACGCATGATATTTGATTGGTAATTTAATAATATTTGTATAATAATGAACATTATTATACATATTTGTATAACATTAATATTTGCATAACAATATAACATACATACATATAATAATAAAACATTCATTAATATTTGTAATAATGTTGGCATAAAACGATAATATTAATAAGCAAGGATATCGATAACTTACGAAAAGCAATGATGATAATTAATGAACTGATAGCAGCACAAGGCCCATCCCAACTCATTATCAACGATAGCTTCTCGAGTGGATCGCAAGCAGCGTTCGAATACTTTGACCATGTGCTCTCCAGTGAAAACAATATCAGCAATCCAATACCTTGAAAAACGATTGATATTCTATTCGAAACTTTATTTAACATCAATCAACTCAATCATTCATTGATGACATCTAATCTGAACAATATGATTGCATGTCTCTGCTACCGTTTTCATCAGATACCACTAAATATCAGCTGAATATACTCATTCGCCATTGTTGATTAGCATCTTTTCATTATATGCGATATTTTAGATCTCCAAGTTTCGGAAAGTGTCGTGAGCTTTTGGAATTAATTGTTATTTTTGTTACTGGTAATGGTTACATTGTTTATCTGTTCGTGTACAGGTTTCTTTGCTGATTTACTCACATCAGCTGAGCAATGTTCATTCGGCACTAAACCTCTCCAAAATTGCTTCATTTAGAACAATTATCATATTAATACAATAATTATTGTGAGTTACATCGTTCCAGTGAGCCGAGAGTAGTTATCATTATTGTCATTCCATGATTATTGTGAGTTGTGAGCTTATTAAGAAATTATTGACGAGTGCTTTTTATGGCATTATAGTGGATGTGCTTATTGAAGTGTGCATGAAACAATCGAATCGATCAACAATGAACAAGCGTTGATGTGAAAGAATGAGAAGTGTGTTTGGACTGTTGCTGGAAAGAACGAGAAAATGACAACAAGAGAACGCTTCTGATGTATAACAGTGATGAGAGTAATTATGGTATCTCTGAGAAGAATGAAAATTTTTTGGGAGCATCTCCAGAAAATGACTGGAATTTCCATGATTTGCCCAAAAATTTTAGGCAGATATCGAAATCATC